GGTCCATCATGCGGAAGATCTTGTCCACACGCTGGCAGGGGAGGAGGAAAGCGTCGGTGAGCCTGGCGATGAGGAGAGAGAGAGAGGAGAGAGAGAGAGAGAGCGAGAGAGAGAGAGAGAGAGAGAGAGAGAGAGAGAGAGAGAGAGAGAGAGAGAGAGAGAGAGAGAGAGAGAGAGAGAGAGAGAGAGAGAGAGAGCGAGCGAAAGGGCCGCGTAACAGAACGCACCTTTGCCTTCTGCGCCGCTTCCTTCACCACTGCCATTGCGCTCTCCTTCTGGTGCACCGAGACGGCCTCGACCCCCTCTTTGTAAATGCCCGCCTTGTGCGCTGCGATCTCCTCGATGGTGTGCCCGAGCAGGGCCGTATGGTCGAGGCCGAGACTGGAAATGCCGCATGCGAGGGGCCGCGGGACGATGTTGGTCGAGTCGTACGTGCCGCCAATGCCCACTTCGAGGATGGCGGCCGAGACGTTGAGCTGTCGGAAGATATGCATGGCGAGCAAGGTGAGGTAGCGGAAGTAGACGGGCCGAAGTGGAGTGGCCTCGTGTGCTCGCTGCGGGCCGAAAGTAAGAGAGAGATGAGGACGGAGAAGCGTTCGTCGAGAGCGAAAGAAGAGTAGAGTCGGCGAGAACAGAAGCCGAAGCAGAGGGGCAACGAAACCAGAGCGTAAAATCGCATCACTTGGCCCTGGCCGCACATCACGCTCCGCCCCCCCCCTTCCACACACACACACTCACCTCAGTATCGGCACCCAGCCTATCCCACACCTGCCAGAAGTAGCGCGCAAACGTCTCCTCGTCGACGGGGCGGCCGTCGATGCGGATGCGCTCGCGCACAAAGACGAGGTGCGGCGACGTGTAGAGGCCCACCTTTGGGCGCGCCGCCGCCGCCGCCGCTCCGGCTGCAAGGGGCGCGTGGGAGAGGAGAGAGGCGATGAAGGCAGAGGTGCTGCCCTTGCCCTTGGTCCCCGTGACGTGGATGACGTTGAGTGCGTTCAGATCTTCGAGCTGTGGGGAAGGACAAAGGGAAGGGAGGGCAAAGGTCAGGATTGTACCATTACGACGTTGTTGCGCGAGAGAAGTTCGCAACGATGCAAGGTCCTCCACCTCTGGAAGCACACGGGGGGGAAAGCGAAGCTGTTGCCGAGCTGCGAGGAGTGGCACTTGCTCTGAGAGGGGAGAGAGAGAGAGGCTGCCCACTAGTCCAGCTCCATGCAGCCCCTCGCTGGCCTTCCCCCCCTTCCCTCGTCTTCCACGCCAAGCTCCATGCAGCCCGTGCTTCTCGCTGGCCTTGCCCCCCTTGCCTCATCTCCCACGCCAAGCTCCATGCAGCGCGCATGCTTCTCGCTGCCCGCCCTCGCTCTCTCAGCCCACGTCCATGCTGCCATACTTGCCCCCTCCTCCTCGTCGCCCCTTTGCTGCCCGACCGCGGCCTCACCTCGTAGCCGATGCGCCGCCAGTACTCGCGCATCTCGGGCAGGGCGAGTGCGTTCATCTTGCCGCCGCTGCTGCGGATCTGCGCAATCACCTGCGCATTGCTCTGCAGCGAGTTGAGCGCGGCAATGGCGGCGGCGTAGTCGCGCGGCGAGGAGGAGGAAGAGGCGGCGGCGGCCATGCTGCGCACGAAGGAGAGGGGCGCGAGGCGACGCAGAGGAGAAGGAGCAAGGGGGCGCGAGAGGCGCAGACGGCTCATGCAGCAGCTCTCTCTCTCTCTCTCTCTCTCGAGCAAGAAGCCTCGTGCGAGTGGTGCGAATGAGAGAGACGAAGGATGCGCTGTGGGGGAGCAGACGTCGAAGCAGCGGGCAGCCATTTATCGAATCTCGCGCCGCGCTGCTGCCCGCGCTGTTCCCACGCTGCCCATGCGCATGCGGGCCGGCGCGCTTCATCGCGCCGCGCGGCGCTCCGCCTCGCCTCGCCTCGCCTCCGCCTTGCTCTGCTCCACACCCGCCTCCTCCGCATCGCCGTCATGTCGAGCCGCAAGCACAGCGGCACCTCCAGCAGCGGCGCCACGTCCGCCGCCGCCGCCGCCGCCGGCCGTGCAGCGGCGCCCGCGCACGCCGGCGGCGCCCTGCCGTCGTTCTATGCCAACGGCGGCACGGCGCCGGGCGCGCTCAAGGGCGGCAGAGGGCCCAACCGGTGAGTATGGGCCAAGGGCGCCGAGTGGGGAGAGTATGCTTGGCCCTTCCTTGGAGAAGCACAGCTGTGCAGTGTGATGCAGGCAGCAGAGGCGTCGACGTGCAAACCGGCGCAAGAGGGCAATGGCGGCATCGCCCTTGCGGCCCTCAGCGCACGAGATTCAGGCTGGCGCACAAGGCACGCAGCGCCAGGCTTGGGCGGGGCTCGGATGAGCGAAGCGCGTGCTGCCACCAAGCCTACAAGCAGCTTCCAGCTTGGCCTCTCTTTGGGGCGCACGCTCAGGTCGCGCCGCTCCTCGGCCCCCCCCTACCTTTGCTGACTCAAACCTCTCTCTCTCTGTCTCTCTCTCTCTCGCGAGCAGCACTTCAAAGGCATCGGGCAAGCTCAAGATTCTTCCTTCCGAGCCTGCCTCCGATGCCGCTCGTCCTTCAAAGTCGCTCATCCCGACGACGCGCTCCGCCGACGACTCCTCCACCGACGACGACGCGCCGTCGGCGATTCGGCGCGCCAGCGTGGGAGGCGCAGAGGAGGAGGAGGAGGAGGAGGAGGCAGTGTATCATTCGGAACGCGCGTCAAAGACGCTGGCGCAGATCCCCGAGGGCAGCATGAGGAGAGATGCGCGCCGCCTGACGCGAAAGGCGAGGGGCAACTTGCCGAGAGTGACGGCTTATAGTACGGCTACGTGAGTTTTTGGCGCCCTCAGAGAAAAGGAGAGGG